CAACTGGGGCACCCGCCAGTCACTGCAGGAACACGATTGCTTACAATTAGCGCAACTTACTGCATTCCCATTGCACCCTTCGGCTGTTGTATATAGCCCCATGACATACAAAGTAAATCGCTCCTGTTTCTCAGAAGTATAACTTTTATTGACGGTATTATTACGTGCATCGAATATCCGAAGTTGGTATCGCCGGAGGATAAGTTGACGCTGGGTGCAACAATGGGAGTATGAGAATGTTAGAGAATTTATCATGTAGTTGCCGATGCAACTTCAGCGTAAATATGATGACTCACATCGCATTCAATATCTGAGAAGGTGTGTGAATTATCACCTATATAACTCTTTCGGAAGAAATATACAAATGATATTCTAATTCGCAAAACCGAAAACTCGTTTTTAGTATGTGGTCTCATAAAAACGCGCTTAGTGGTAATAACGTAAAGGACTTGGTCACGTTATTGAGCGACAAGAGTGGAAATGTTAGAGGAAAGGTTGGATTCAATTTTTCAACAAATCATACAATTCATGACCATAATAATAATATCTAAAGTTCATAACTCTGCTCGTATTCTTCATTGTAGCATTGGAAAAAATGTTGGTCAGTTTTAAGGTTCTGATCGAGGCAATCCCTAAATCTATAATCATGCTGTATCCTGTAGCAATCAAATATCCAGACGTTTTTTGTTGTTGTTGTTGTTGTTGTAGTTGTAGTTGTAGTTGTAGTAGTAGTAGTTGTTGTTGTTTTTTGTTTTGATGTTATAGCTTTTATTATATAAAAAGAGTATGGTTGCAAATAACCCGTCTAATATTAAATACATGTTTTCAAGCCGGCGATTGCTTGATTTGAATATTCGACATTTAAAAAAATTTTTTGCTTCTCTCAACTATCAAGATTTGGCCGCGACTAAACCTTAATACATGTTTATTTAAAAAAAAAAATTTTTTTTGAGGTCTCTATAACTATAATAAACCCACCCAACTATCAAGCGCGTCGTCCAGTCTGACCGTTAAATACGACGACCAAAACCGGACGTTAAATACATGTTTATTTAAAAAAAATTGTTTTTTGCCTCTTTTTCAGACTTCTTATTTAAATTTAAAAAAAAACCCCCCGAAAAAATGTCTATTTTGCCACTCTTCGAGTGGCCCGAGAGCAGCGACCTCCAAAGCGTTGGCGGTGTCGTCGTGTGGTAGGTGGTCGGCAGGCCAGGCAGATGTTGTGATGGCGGACTTGCAGTGGTTGACGTTGGAGATGCTCGGCATGATTGCTGACAGGCCCGACAAAATCCAAGATCGTTGGAGCGGCAGGGTTGTAGCTGTCGCTATTTTTGTTTTGGGGGGACCGCTCCGTTTTATTTTAAAAAAACTAATTGGGACAATCTTGTCTGCCACGTTTGTTGTTAAGTTGCTTTATTTTTTTTTTAAAAAAAAAAGGGGGGGGTTATAATACCAGTTTTATGACCTTTAAACCGGATGAAAAACTTCGGGTATTTTTGTATGCAATAGCTGTTATGTCTGTAAAGTTTTGATAGAGCATGATTTTCAAAAGACTGTAAATGGGGTACTTTATATAACCGTAGGATTCTCTCTCTCCCAAACTATATTTACTGCAAGAGATTATACAAGAAGACAAACTATCTATAAAAGGGCCAAAAGTTACTAGACATACAGCCACTTTAATGTTATATATTGTTCTTTATTGTAATTTTAAACTTTATTTTAAACATACCAATGCCATTACAGCGTGTAATTGTTGTAGAACGTTCTGTGCTGTATCACGCATCTTCTCTATCAACAGTCAGTTGGCGTTGTAGAAAATAACGGAAAGATGAGCATTACGGAAAAAGATTAATACACGAGCAATGAAACACAATTGTTGTAGAACATTCTTTGCTGTATCACACATCTTCTCTATCAACAGTCAGTTGGCGTTTAGACAATAACAAAAGATAAACAAGGTCGTTTGTTTATTGAAAAAAAGGGTATTCCGAAATTATAAGACCAGTTCTACAAAGAATACAAACGATTAATGATTGTAAGGTTCTCATTCTGAACCAATAGATAAACAAGAAATTCTTGACAGCAAACAGGTTTATTATTCTGTTCTTGTAATACTTGATATAAAGTACTGGTATTCTAAATTCTATATTAAATTTATGTTGGACAAACGTATGCCAGATAACGCGTATGCATGTCTAATCCATTATCTGGCTTTGTTCTGTTCAGAGGCAATACACATAGTCCGGTGACTTTATAAACACGTGCTTGTAATTAAAGACTACTCCTATAGTAATATCCATTTTTGTCATAATAATAAGGTACATGGACCATTCAATGCAAGGGTCACTTGAGAATGAACAAAGTGCTTTTAATTCAGAACTTATTGAACTGCAAAAATTAAAAACAGTATCGTTCCGTGATTACAACAAGTCATCCAACTGTGTATCATAAATTTCCGCCTTGACTGATTTACTGATAGTGAGCCGATATTCAGGACGTTTTTGGCAAAGTTTGAGTATGAGAATGTGATAAGCACCGTAATCAATGGCTTACGCAAGTTTACCTAATCGGTGACGAACAAACGGGGTCTATTTCTATGCATGATGACGATATTAAATATACTGTATATTATAAATATTATGAGACATACTTTATATCGTTAATGTTTGATATATCCAAAGTTTCGACAGGTTAAAATAATAATATGTAATCATACATACGTATTTATACGTAAATTATTATCAGGGCTTGTTAGTTCCATGAGCATATGTATTATCCGTTGCATCTATCAAGCTTTTGTGTTCACAAATGTTCTGAGAATGCATTCATTTCTGGGGTGTGTGTATGCCCCAAAATCACAAAAAAGAAACAACTCGCAGAACAGCGAAAAGTATATGCACGAGCATATCAGCCATTGTTTATCATACGCCCATAGATGAAACTTCTTGGCATTTGGCGGACAAACGCTCGATGAACATTATGTATGCGTTAGTTAGGAACAGTGTTCTAGTATCTGACTATTAACCCATGTTGAGTTTGCATTAATTGAGTACGCCTTTGCTATAAACAAGCCATATCCTTCTGAATACATACAGGTTTATACTAGTATGCAGTATGTGTACAGTCTTTTGATCACATGTATTATATCCTGCATAATAATAACAATAAAATAAATATGTCGTATGTTGTAAATCTCCCAACCGCATTTACACATATGTAAATACAACAAATATATAATGATGATCGTTACTATAATAACAAGCTTGTCATGTAACAACTAATCTTTTGCTGTACTGCTGCTAATTGTTAAGAAAATTTAGGTTGGGTAAAAATCCGAGGATTGCACGAATTCGAATGGGTTAAATGACTGTTCATATCAGACTGGGTATATCATACGTTGAATGCGCGTATTACATTCTTGTAACCTGATGTGTATCAGTTTCAATAATGTCGATCATACCTGTTGGGACATGTTATATAACCATAAACAACGTTTGTGCTATCTAAAACAATGCTTATCGTATCCGTTATCGCTGTATGAGCTGGTAAATTAAAAGGTCAGTGTTTGAATGAACCTAATGTCTTTGCTACCAACAAACAAGTATGTACTGTATCAACTATTATTATGGTAACTGCGGGACTGTATACTGATTATGAGTGGTGAACATGCCAATGCTGAAAAGCACCAATACTTATGCGAGTCTTCTTAATTTAAACAATGAGTTATCAAAATCTAAATCAGAATAAGCTTTGTACGTATCAAATTGACACTTGTCATATGAAGTAGTAGATATGAGTTATGCTATATTCTGTGTACCGTATTATATAGACCTATGTTACAAGTGTAAGCTCTAAGAGAAAGCAAGCAACTTCTTTATTGTTTGATGTTAAGTTTTTCTACGTACAGTATACCTACATCTTGTTTGTTATTTTTCAGTAAGCCTTGAATAAACTCTTGCGCTTTCGTTTTTAAAAATTTCTAGTTTATGATAATTAGTTAATAATCCTCCAAAGGTTAACCATATTAATATGCAACAAAACCAAGTTCATTCCTATTTCGGATCGCTATTGCGATCAATGTTTATATTAATATACATATACATAGAGAGGATCCGTTGCTCAATACATGCCTTTCTGGTTTATAGGTCGGTAAAATAAGCAGTGAAGATATTGAGAATAAGGTTTTTTTTCTTTTTCCTTTTCCTATCATATAAATATCACATTTGAATAAATATATTATATCAGTCTATACTTTTACTTTTGGCTTATCAGTAGAAATCAATGTGATATGTAAAAAGAGTGGTGTTTGTCCATTTTATAATATATACTAATGCAGTATTTTAATTTAATAATGCATGAGTCTTATAAACGCATTATTATTATTGTTACACTGTCTTATAATCACTTTTGAAATATCACCGGGAGAATGTTGATTGAGTATACCGTCGAATACATTAACTGCCGACTATCATGAAAATCAATGGGGGCACAGTATATTATATATGTGGTTATTATTAGACTGCCGATATTCCCATCAGCACATTAATACATTATTAATTAATAGCATTCAGTTATGTTAATTTTACATTATTTACTATAAATGGGAGTAATAGTTATAGAGTATTTGACAACGAACAATAGCTACAACTGTCTCTATTACTATAGGGTGCTACGATATAAACCTTTGGCTCAGCCCCTGATATTAATATGGTGGTATGCTGCAGGTGTGGTGAGGCCCTCCTCGTTTATTTTGAGGGGCCATGGTGTCTGAAACATTAATATAGCGCAATATACTGTATTAGTATAGTCACTACATTTAAAACAGAAATCACAGCAAAGCAAGCACAGGGTGCGATGAACTAGTCCCAAAATAAAATCATTGATCGAACGAGTAACACCCACCCCAAGTATGGCAATATTTATTTCCCACATGCTAAGTACATTGTATGCTACCTTCCCACCCGACAAACATCTATACTCAGTTCTTTTCCCATTATTAGATTTTTTCTTCAATAGATATGTTCCTTGTCTGGATCGATCCCAAAGACCTGCATGAATTGATAGCGAACGAGCGCAGCATGGCAATAGGCGAGGCAACGTACAGAGTGTTAATAGTGATTCATATGACAAGTGGTAAGAAAAGGAGGAATATGTAAAGAGCGCTGAGGGAATGTTTATGGATAGTCGATTTATTTCTAAGTTTAATACTGCACTATAGACCGATCTTCGTTCTGTACATCTTTAATAATGGTTTTTATACATTAAAGTGTTGAATTCTCATCGACATTGGAACATAGTGACATTACAGCAGGTTTCTGTATGACTTTTTGTGTACGCGTTTTTCACGTAAGTTGTATAATGAAGTTATGTTTTAGCAATTCTTGCTATCGAATCAAGCACAAACATTGATCTCCTATGATTTGATCCATTTAATCGTGAAATTATTCCGTGAATTCTCTCCTTGGACATATGGACAGTCCGATCTCGGAAAAACTCATTACGATTTTAGCAGAGCTACAAGTAGCATTGAAGACAATCAATCGGACATTGATAAATATTTGTTCATATCTAAAATCCCAAGGACAATGGTATGAGTTGCTCAAACGAAGAAAGAAAGAAAGATTTTAAATTTAAATTCATTAATGATTATTGGTATTCATGGCGGGCGCAGGAAGGATATCTAAGGGCTCGATAATATCCAACAATATCGGTTTTAATGAAACAAGTGTATGCTAATGGGCGTCAGCCTTCTTAATGCTGGTCTGAAACACATCTTCATCGTCAGTGAACATGCTGTTGGTCTATATGTATATTATTAAGTGAAGACGGGTCGATTAAGTTAGCAAAAGCAGGTGATGTTTCAAACGAGGTTGTTGACAAGTAATAGCAATGTAAGTAAAGTGCAAAATTTTTTAATTTGATATAATTAGCGTATATTAATATGTTTCCATATTGATTGGTTGATTCCCACATAGGTCTCATGTTGGCCATTTATCTATACAAAGAGTTTCCCGTCGAACTGTATGGAAATGAGATAGTATTGCACAAGATGTAGCTATCTATATAGGCGAAGAAGCAGACATAAGGCGAATGACAAATATGCAGGAAAAAGGAAGAGCTAAGGAAGGGGGACATAATATTAATGGGAAGACGAGACTTTTGGGCCGTGGTATATTGAGGATTGACGGACATTGGAGGTTAGTATGCGCCAGGAAATTGGTATTGGAATATGCTGATACGTCGGGTAGTAAATGTGATACTTG